ACAGAAAGGGAAACTGAGGCACAAAGCAGTTAAGGAACATTCCCAACGTGACACAGCTTGCAAGCCGTAGAGCTGGGATTTGAATCCAAGTCTGTGTGATTTTGGAGCCTGTGTGATATTTCCCTGGTTGTGGAAGATTCCTTCCCCCCAGGAACCCAGGACTCAGCCAATCCCTCCTCCAGGGAAAACATAAGGACATTAAAACATTTTATTGTTCTCGAAGAAAAAAAAAAAAAACTTGGCAAATTTTAATAGAATGACTAATGGACAACTGTCTTTCCCCCAAGTAGCTGAGACCTTAAGAAGCTGAGAGGAATAAAAGATTACATCCTAGCCGCCTCTGAGACGCTGAGCTACTAGGAGTGGGGTCTAAGTCAGAGTCAAGTTTGTATCCTGGGTACTGAAAACAGAGCCCGGCAGAGTCTGGAACCATCTGGTGGATAATGAGTAAATTAGGGAGGGAGGAGCTCTGGAGGAGACAGGAAGATGAAGAACTGGGATAGAAGTTTCTAGCCCAGAAACGGGCAAGCAGGAGTGCTGACCACACGCAGGAGGGCAGCAGGGATCCTCCCTGCCACGCCCTGTCCATGCTTCAGCTCTCCATGTTTGCGTCACATCGACAGGAAGGGCCCATGGGTGCAGGAGCAAGGGTTGATGCTTGGCATTGAGAACACACCTCAGGATCTGGAGGCTTGGGTGATTCAAGGGAGAGGCTGCAAAATCTCCTTCCTTAGAGAAGAGGCTGGGTCGGATTATTGATCTCTGGATTTCACTGTTACTCAGATTTCACTGTACTCAGATACACTGAGTAATATCTAGTGCCCCCAAGGGGCATTGAGAGAAGGAAAAAGAAGCAGGAGGAAGGGAGAGGCGAAAGCAAGGGAGGAAGTGGAAGTGGCCACGTGGCACCTGCAATCTCATCAGAGCTACCCTTGGCCCCACCCGTCCTGTCTGGGAGAATTGGCACACACTCGCCTGGAGTCTGGGCACTGACCATCAGCAATGATGCCAGCCACCGGGCCTCCACAGCTAGGGTGGGAGCAGGGCCCCGGCGCCCAATGATGCCTTTAGTTGGCAGATGGCAGGAGGTTCTGAGGGTCCAGAAGAGGGGCTGGGTGATGGCAGGGGGCACTTGGTGGGGTGGGGGACAGTGACTTTTGTCCAACTCCCAGGTGCCTACTGGCTGCCTGTCAGACAATGCTTTTAGGTGACCAGAAGGCAAAGATTTCCCAGTCCCTGGAAACCAGATGCCCATCCTCCATGCAAACAACTGAGGTGGGATGTCCGTGCCAGCGCTGACACCTGCCCAGAGGCAGCTGCTCAGGTAGGCTGACCTGGGTTGGAACTGACAGTCCACCTTACTCCCTGTGTGGCCACGCAGGTTACCTAACCGTAGAGCCTCTGTGGCCCTCCCTGGGACTAGGATGACAGTCCCTCTCACAGCAACACAGGAGAGCAGGTGCTTCCCTTCTCTCTTCCCACCACACCTGCTGCTGCTCTACTACCACACTGGAGACCCTTCCTCTCCCTGCCCCAGCATCATCCTCATAGGGACTGACATCTCCTATTAGACCCTCTGAGCCTTTCAAAACACAGGCCAGTGGCTTCCCATCTCAGAATAAAATCCAGAACCCCCACCACAGCCCACAAGCCCCCGCAAGAGTGAGCGGTTCCCAACCCTGGCTACACGTTAGGGTCATCTGAATCAATCTGAGCTGGGGCCGGATGGCAGCGCATCTTAAACGCTTCCCAGGTGGATCTAATGGGCAGAGCCACTGCCCCATGTGATCCAGCCCTCCTGCCATGCTGCCTGGCTCACTCTGCCCTGGCCTCACTGCCTCTCACTCATTCTCAAGCATGTTCACCTCAGGGCCTTTGTTGGAATACTCTGTCCCTGACAGTCCACCTGGCCCCCTTACACAACTTAGCTCACTTTTTTTTTTTTTGGTACAGGGTCTTACTCTATTGCCCAGGCTGGACGGCAGTGGCATGATCACTGCTCACTGCAGCTCGACCTGGGTTCAGGTGATCCTCCTACCTCAGCCTCCTGAGTAGCTGAGACTACAGGCATAAGCCATCATGCCCAGCTAATTTTTTTTTTTTAATAGAGATAGGGTCTCGCTATGTTGCCCAGGCTGATCTCAAACTCTTGGGCTCAAGCGATCTGCCTGCCTTGGCTTCCCAAAGTGCCGGAATTACAGGTGTGAGCCACCACGCCCAGCCCATAGCTCACTTCTGATGGAGAGGTCCCTCCCTGACCAGGCAGTTCCCCACCCTATGCCATCACATTCTTCCCCCTCAACCCTGCCCCTGCTTTATTTTGTCTTATCACACTTATGACCCCCTTGATATGCCTGTTGATTTGGATAACGTCTTATACCCTCCACTGGAACATAAGCTCTATGAGAACAGGGGTTGTCCATCTTGTTCACAGATGTATGTCAGTGCCTAGCACAGCACTGGATGCACAGCAGGTTCTTGATAAAACCTGTTGTAATCAAGGCCATTTCTGCCGGCAGGTCTGAGCTTCTGGAAGGTGGGGGTGGAATGTCATGTATCTTGATGTCCTAGCATCTAGCACAGGGCCAGGCATGGAGGCGGCTGTGGCCAATTCATGGTGCTGATGGTTTGCTTCTGGAGATAAGGGGGCTCAATGGGGGTGCTGTAGAGTGTCACGGCCAAAAGCAAGGGTCTGAGCAGAGATAGAGGTGGGGAGATGGCCCAAAGGTGGCTGAGATGCTTCAAGGAGGGAGGAAAGGAGCAGGCCTGCAACAGTGCCTGACACTTGGCTGGCCCAGGGGGCCTAGCAGGGTAGAGGAGTGGTAGCCTATTAGACATCAGCCCTGACCACTGGACCCAGACAGTACGGGAACGGTGAGTGGGAGCCCACAGGAGGGTGAGGCAGGGGACAGCCAGCTCCAGATCCCACCGGGGTATAGGATGATGTGGGCAGTGCCAAGCATGGGAGCTGATATCACCCCCACCCTGTAGAGTTCAGCAAATAGGACATTTTGTCTGAAGCTGCAGGGCTGTTGCATGCCTCAAATGCCCCTGCCAAGTTGCCATGGTGGAGGGGAAGGCATCTGCACCCTGGATATTCCTGACCTGTCCCAGAAGCAGGCAGATGGCAAAAGTGAGGCCAGAGGGGGAAATGACTTGCAAAGGGCTGCTTTGGGCCGGGAATTCCTGCAGAATGGGGCAGGCTCCTGTTTTTGAGAGTCACCAGCATAAGGAAATGATTGCAGGGGTGCCCAGGAAACCGACACTCCAGGACATTGGGTTGTGTTGTAGCTCAGCCTGGTCCCTGGGAACCCAGTGGCAGCTCATGGCCAAAATCACTCAGCCCCTCTTCATGCCCAAACCCAGCTTCCTTCTCCGGAGCCATCACTTTTTGAGCACCAATCATAACCAAGGCCTGGTGTGGGCCTGTCCAGCTGAGTTCCACAACCCCAGGCTGGCCTGCACCCCCAGCCCTGGCAGCTTTCTAGGGCAGAAGCTCAGAGTGCCTGATGTCAGAAGTGTGTGTGCCTCCACCGCAGGGCCACAGCTGCAGCAGCAAGAATGGCTGCCCCCAGTGACTCCTAAAGATGCAGCCTCGCTGGGCCACCTCTGCCTGCCACAAGGGTGGCCTTGCAAAGTGCTCCTTAAGGCAGCATCTGCCCATGTCCTTCCTTGTGTGTTTTCCTCCCTCCAGGGCCTCTGCACTGTCTCCACCTAACCCTCCTCACGCCTGCCACTCCTTGAAGACCACAGGGCTGGGGGGCAGACATCTGGGATTCTAATTTGGTATGTGACCCCAGGCTACCCCTGGGAGGCTCATGTCCTCATCTGCAAAGTGGGGAGAAAGGGGGGTTTCCATGAGGATTCAGTGAGATAATGCCTGGGCACAGGGCTGCCTGGCACCCAGCAGGGAGCTTAATAAATGTCTGGTTTCCAATTCCCACCACTGCATTTCCCAGCCCTTCTCCTCCCCTCAAGCACTAATTGTCTGAGTTACAATCCTACTTTGGTGTCTGGCTGCCTACAAGCAAAGTGAGGAGGTCTCGTTGGGTAGAACTGGTGCTGGGCTGAGAATGGAGCCCTGGCCCGCCCCTTATTTCCAGAGCCTTGGGAGACATCATCAGCCTCAGCATGAGCTTCCTCCTCTGGAAAGCAGCCACCCTCTCCAGTAACTGCAAACCATGCCGGCAAACTGCAAAGTGCTTAAGGCCAGGCGTGAGGACAGGTCACGAGGCAGGGATTGGGGCCTGGTATTCTCAGAGTGGTCTCAGGAAGAACAAACCTGTACACTGAATTGGACAACAGCAGGATTCTGAGCACTTTGGGAGCTGTGTGTGATGTGGGCAGGGGTTGCGTCCAGATCAAAGATGGGGAGGTGGTCTAGGCAACAGCAGGAGGTGTATTCGAGGTCTGCAGTAATGCTTGCAGGGCCTGAATTACAGCAAGGCTCACACCCTCATCCTGCTGCCCTGGTCTTGGCCATCTCCCATGTCAACCCCATCTTGATCCTGCCTCCTCCCTCCCCAGAAGCCAGGGGGCCATTTGGTGCTGGGAACACAGGCATCAGCTGCACGGCCAGACCCCAGACCCCTGCCCAGGAGTCCCTCTTTGCTCTCCTGGCCAGCCCCACCCCACAGGCACCAACTTGGGCCAATGCCAGGCCACAGGTCAGACTCCCAGGCCTGGGGCTCCTCTGCCTACCCACAACCACCAGTGATGCTCCTCAGCAAAAGCCAACTTCTCGCTCCAAACGCAGCAGCACCCAGGATACAGCAGGGGGAATGCTAGGCACCTGTCCCACAGCCTGGGGTGAGGCGGAGGTCAGAGATACACACAAATCAAACTCTCTCCTCATTTTATATATATATATACAACACACACACACACACACGCACACAAGCACGCCCCACCCACACTCATTAGGCCTGGAGAGGGGCCTTCGGTTCTCCATCTTTGGCATCAATCTATCAAAATCAGCTTTTCTGTATGAGACCGCTCGCTCCTTTCTGTACAACATGAATTAAATATATTATCTGTCTCTGCGCTGAGTCACAGGATGTTCACAGTACCGTGGGGAGGAGTGGAGGGTGGGGGCCTGAGGTGGGCAGGGCAGGGGCCCTGGGTAGAAAGGTGAGGCTAGCCTCCCCTTGGCCTGTGCCATTCAGGATCAGTCCAGTGTTGAGGACACCTGGGGGATACAGAGGGGAGCCTTCTTCAGGGGCCCTGGCCCCCCAGGCTCCCGGCCCCCCGAGGCAAGTGTCTCAGCATCACAGCCTGCTCCTGGTCCACATTCCTCTACCTCAGATGGTGGCATCTATACCTTTCCCTGTCGTGGCTGCCCTCTGGGGTGGCAGGGGCTCGGGAAAGCTGGTATTGGGATCAGGTGGACACGAGCCACAAGGGCCGGGAAGGAGGGATGGGGAGGCTGTGCGACCCTCCGGGAGCTGAGGTCAGCCCGGTACCAGCGTCAGGGTGACTCTGCATATCTGGGTGCCGTCCCCAGGACCCTGACCAGGCCTGGCTAATCGGAGCCCCAGGATGATAAGATAAGCAGAAGCCACCTGGGGAAGGAGTGGACAGGCAGGAGCCGGTCACAGCTCCAAGGGCAGTGAGCACGCTACCACCTGCCAATTTAAGGCAACTCCATTCAGACTGGTGAGCTGGGTGGGGGCTGGCTGAGGTGGCAGGCGTGCAACTGGCGGACCCAGGTCACCTCTGGACATAGCTGGGCATCCAAGCATGCCGGCGCTGCTCAGCCACGGTTCAAGCCAGAGGGTGTCGGGGGAATGAGGGTGGGGTAGGGCTGATGGAAAGAAAGGGGACTACTACTCCTTTTGTTGCTGTGGGACACCTGCCAGGTAGGGCAGGCTTTGGCACACATGTGGGTACCTAGGATTCCAGGGTCCCAGAGAGCATGCCATGTCTCTTCTTGCTCTCAGAAGGGAAAAAGATGAAACATCTGTGGGCTCCAAGGGGCCAGAAAAGGGGACTACGAAACTGGCCCTAGGCAGGCCCCTGGGGGAGGAGGGTAAAGCCTGTATCCAGGGCACAGTGCCCATCCTGGCGCCTTAATTCTCTCGCCCATGTGCGTCCCACGCAGGTGCCCAAACACTTCAGGGTGGGAGAGGGTACAAGGTCCCCCCTCCTTCTCATGTCTTCTCAGGGAAGCAGCTCATGCCAGCCCCAACGTGGGTAATGGAGGGGTTGGTATGTAGGTGAGGACTACTGGGGAGGCACGTGGGAAGCACAGAGAAGAAACAGCCGTGGCCAGCAGGGCTGCCAAACGGTCTTCTGGGCTGGCTGTCAGCCCTCGTTCTTCAGTCTTCCGAGGGCCACACAGGTTCCATCCTACCCCAATTTGTGGTCCATGTGATCTCTTGTCCCTTGGGCCACGGCAGGGTGGGCGCGGCTCAGAAGATGCTCTGCCGCCTGTTCTTCCCTCGTCCTGGAGAATGGAGGAGGTGGGGCTGCAGCGAGGAGGCTGGGCCAATGCATACCCCAGACCAGCAGGGACAGTCGCTGTCCCCCAGAGCTGCTCTGACAGAGCAAGCAAGGGCATGCACGCAGGAGCGGGTCCGACCTGGTGTCAAATCCCATCTCTGCTACTTACTAGCTGCATGTCTTGTGATTTAACCTCCCAGAGCCTCAGTTTCATTGACTATGAAATGGGGAACAGTAGTAGTACCAACTTCAAGGGGTGTTTTAAGGATTAAAGGAGAGGATGCATGGGAAGCATTTGTCAATGTCCAAGGCCATTGACTGTTCTAGGAACAAAGGACCGTTCTCCCAGGATGGAATCTGATTAGAGAGCTCAGAGTTTGCAAAGAGAATGCACCAGAGACAGCATGCCTCTTTGCCAGGGCTACTGTCAAACACAATGTCCTGTCTGGGGTGAGGGTTGAAGAGGGAAGAGCTGGACGAGGAAGCCTAGGCAGGAGAAACCAACCCCTTCTCTGCTCCCTGAAGACTCCAAAGGGAAGAAAGTGGCGGAGGGACCATGGGATTCCCCACTGGGGAGGGGTAGCCTGTCCTGGCTTCCACTAACAAGGGAAGGGCTCCAGGAGAGCACAAGCCCCTACCTGGCTGCTGGAAGGCCAAGCCTCGGTAGCCTGGGTCCTTCTGGAGCTGGATCTCTTTCAGGGAGAAGATGGAGGCAGCTGGGGGAGAGGACATGGTGGAGAGAGAGCTGGGTGGAGCGGGACCAACTGAGCCCTGGAGGCAGCGTCTCATTTCCACTGTTTGCCCCCTCAGTTTGCAATGAGAACCCCAGCAGGGGAGGCCAGGTGCCCAGGGCTGCTCAGCTGGGTCTGGGGCCTCTGGCCTCTTTGTTCTGGTTCTTCTACCCACACTCACCACCCCCTTTCCTTGGTCCTGGGTGGCCCTGCTCCCTGCCCCAACAATACTCACTGTCTTCAAGCTGGTGCACACGCTCTCCCAAAGACCGGAAGTAGGGGTGACTCAGGGCAGCCTCTGCTGACATGCGACTCTTGGATTCATACTGAAAGGCACAGGGTGGGGCTATTGGGCCCTGGCTGGGGGGGCTGCAGGGAACCCTCCGAGCAGCAGGACTCTTGTGCTGGTTAGAGCACCAAGGTGGGTGGGGCTTGAGACTAACAGGAGAAGCCCTAGGTCAGCCTCCAGCCCCTACCACAAATCCAACCTCAAGCCATCTCAAGACTCAGGGGAAGGCTCCTTGGTCTCCAGCCACCAGGAAAAACCAGAAATGAAACTTGAGGACAGTGACCTTCTCTTGAGATAGAAATACAGATGCAAACCAACCATGATTAGAAGGAGAACATAGCATTGTGCCGATAACGACCCTTCATCGTGTGCCTTAGAAGACAGGCACCACACTAAGTGTGTCCCGTCATCTCAATGTATCCTCACTGCCAGCTTATAAAATAGGAATTAATCCCACTTTGCAGTGGAGGAAACGGAGACATGGAGGAGCTCTGTAACTTGCCCAGAGCTACACAGCTAGTAACGGTTTGGAATCGCAGTGCAGAGACTCCAGAGGATGTGTATGGAGGCCCGCGCTCCCCTGGGCCTTGGGGTGGAGAGTACAGGGAAGATGTTTCAAAGACGTGTGAGCACACGAGCCACAGAAGTTGGGGCGCAGGCCTAGCATGGGGCACGGGGACTTCGGCTCTTTGCCTGCCTCTCCCTGGGCCCCACCGGGAGGTCACTCACCGGGAGCAGGCTGCTTAGGAGGTGGATGCCATCCGTATCCAACCTGCAAGGAGAAGGCGCGGACACAGGCTGTGCCTGAGCGGGGGTGGGAGAGCCAGGGCCACAGCAGGAGGGGCAGTGCGGGCGCCGGGGCTACCTGGGCGCGTGGTTGATGAGCGGCTGCGGGAGGTAGCGGGGGAAACTGTAGGTGCGGAACTCGGAGAAGGCGGTCACGCCCGGCCACGTCTCTTCTGTGGGGGTCCCTGGGGAGACGAGAGAGGGTGGGGAGGGCCTGAGTGAGGCCCAGGGCCAAGGCCGACTTGAAAGGGATGCAACGTAGCAGGTGGGAGCAAAGATGGCCGAGGCCACAGGGGGTCCCCGCCCGGGAGAGAACTAGGCGAGCCGCTCCTCCCCGTCCCGCTCGGCGCCTGGGCTGGACGGAGTTCCGGCGCCCCCTGGTGGTGAGAGAGGCGGAGCAGCGGGAGACTGACCGAGGAGGCGGAAGATGAGGTGCAGCTCCTCCTTGACTGTGGAGCCCGGGAAGAGGGGCCTCCCTGTTGCCATCTCGTAGTGGATGCAGCCCACGCCCCTGCGGGGAGCAAGGGGCAGGGGCGGCATCAGGCAGGGGCGGCCGCCCTTCCTAGGGCTGCTCCACCAGGGCACCAACGACGACCTGCCACAGCTGGCTGCAGGGGTCGTGGCTCTGGCGGCGGAGGGGTGGCCCAGGGCAGTGGAGGCTCCTAGAACTGCCCAGCCCCCACTACAGCCCCTCTCTGGGGGCTTCCCTGGGCTCGGGAAAGCTGCGACCTCTCCCCTTTCGCTCTGTGAGGTTTGGGTCTGTGCAGCCAGCGCCCATGTGGCAATTCTCTCAGCAGTGTTGTCTCACACTCTCTCCACTGTGTGCCCCACTGGAAGAGAGAAGTACATAAATCCGTTCTCCTGGGGAACCTCGGGGCGGAGTCACAGCAGCCATTCATCACCACTGGCGGTTCGGCTTGCAATTTGGGCTGATTTTTCATTTTACACCAAATCATACGCTTGTTCATTTTAACATAAAAATAGTACTTCTCTTTCAAAATTTTCACTGGGACTGATGCTTGGGGAAGATTCATCGTATTTACTATAGGGGCCCTCCTGGACCCTCTGGGTCTCTGGTAACCTCCCACAGGCCCCTGGGGGAGGGTCTATTTAAGCCAGGGAAACCCTAACCGATTATATTTCAGACTTAATTTTTTAACATCTAGTTCAGCAGGATGTCACATGGCTTTTAGGCAAAGGAAGTTAGGAAGTTCTTCCCCGAGGCCCTTGGGGCAGCAAGAGAGTCTGGAGGTGTGGCCAGGACTGTCCTCCCCTCCTCGTCCCGACAGCGCTCACTCACCACATATCAATGGGGGTGGAGTACTCTGTGGATCCCAGCAGCACATCGGGGGGCCTGTACCACAGGGTCACCACCTCATTGGAGTAGGTCTTTGTGGGCACTGACTTGGCCCTGGCCAGTCCTGGGGGCAGACGTGTCACTGGACCTCTGTCCACAGGTGCTGTGGGGTTGACTGCTATGCCCTCCCCCACTGCACCCACACCTTGAGGCACCCCAGTGGCATCAGACCCCCACCCTAGCTCCAGCCTCACCGAAGTCGGCCAGCTTCAGCTCCCCCTTCTCGTTGATGAGCAGGTTCTGGGGCTTCAGGTCCCGGTGCAGGATCTTGCGGTGGTGACAGTAGGCGAGGCCCCGGAGCAGCTGGAACATGAAAATCTGGGAGAGGGGGAAGAGAAATGTGAGGTGGAAGGTGGTCCTAAGCCTCTGCTCCAAGGCTGGGACCGGGATGGGGGCAGGGGTTTGGCAGTGAGGTCAGCACAAGCCCCTCATTCTCCTGCCCACCCTGCAGCCCCCATCCTGGGCCCAACCCACACCAGGGAGTCCCATCCAGAGGGGAGGACACCAGGGATGCAGAAGAGGCAGTGAGTGTGGGGGAGGCCAGAGAAGTCTCAGTCAGGAGCACGGGGGTCAGGATGCCTGCCTATGTGGAGACACATGTGCTTGATCTTTTTTTTTTTTTTTCTTTTTGAGACAGCGTTTTACTCTGTCACCCAGGCTGGAATGCAGTGGCGTGATCATGGCTCACTGCGGCCTCAACCTCCCGGGTTCAAGTGGTCCTCCTGCCTCAGCCTCTCAAGCAGCTGGGACTATGGGTGCACGCTACTGTGCCAGGCTAATTTTTCAATTTTTAGTAGAGATGAGGTCTTGCCATGTTGCCCAGGCTGGTCTCAAACTCCTGGGTTCAAGCCATCTTCCTGCCCTGGCCTCCCAGTGCTGGGATTGCAGGCATGGGCCAACACGCCCAGCCTTGATTCTTTAACAAACACCAGGAGAGGTCATTCATAACCCCCAGTTTCCCCAGAAGCCTCCCTGCATTCTGGCAGGTAGCTCACACTCCCATTTGACAGACGGGGAAACTGATGTTCAGAGTTGGGAGTGGATTTTATACCAACAGCTAGACAGTGGTAGAGAGTGTGTGTCTGTTCCTGGGGTAAAGTGCTCAACCCAGTTCCTAGACTCGTTGATGGCACTGCCCTCTCTCTCTTTCCCAGGTGAGAAAGTCTGAGCCACCCCAGCAGCCGGATCCCTGGCGGTGAGAGTGGGTCCCCGCACTGGGCTTCTGAACAGGTGGCTGCCAAGATGGGGGGACCCTGCCCCGGAGGCCTCACCTTGACGTTGTGCATGCTCATGAGGTTCCCACAGTGATCCAGATACTGCTTCAGGTCACTGTCCTGGAACACAGAACGTGACTCAGTCCTGCCCCATGGCCAGAAGCCCAGACACAGGCTGAGGAGAGGAAGCCCCTCCCTGGGAAGGGCCCACGCCCACTAGTGGGACAGGTCCCTGGCTTGAGCCACCCCGAAGCCTGAGCTCTTGGCCCACTCCTGCATGGGAACATCTGAGAACCTGATTCCAGAACAAGGCCTGGTTCGCCCTCATCCCACCTCTCCCACTTCCTCAGCTTCCCACTCCCCTACCCACACCCTGTTTCTACCACAAGAGGGAGAGGCTGCCAGCCCCAGCCCGACTCTCACCAGGTACTCAAACACCAGGGTGAGGGACCGATCTGTGTGGATGAGGTCATGCAGGGTCACAATATTGGCGTGCTTCAGGTTCTTCAGCAGAGACACTGCAGGGAGACGGGCCTGCCTGGGTCCCCAGGACGCTATGTGTCCCCATACCCTCTTTTCTTGGGGTCAGCTCCAGGAGTCCCACTCCAGCAATGACCCTCCACCCCCAGCTCCTACCAGGGCGCAGGCTGGTGAACCCCTCCTCCTGAAGCCCCAGGGGGAGTGTGGGAGCCTAGGACGCTGTACCCTCTCGGATGGCAGTGCAGGGCGCTCCCTCCTCATGCTCCAGCCGGATCTCTTTCAGGGCCACGAGGTTCTCCGTCAGTTTGCTGCGCCCTTTGAAGACTGTGGCATAGGTGCCCTGGGATGGAGGGCCGCAGCGGTCCCAGGCACATTCAGGTGCTGCTGGCCTCTGCCCAGTGTCTCCCCATTTGTGCCTCTGCCTGGGCTATGACTGGGGCCTGAGTGCCTTCCTCCCTTCACTGACATGCTGTTTCCTCCAAAGCCTACTTCCTCCAGGAAGCATCCCTAATGACCCCCAGTTGGAGTGAATCCGTCCTTCCTCTAAGCCCCAGCACGCCGTGTGCCCCTCTATGATAACACCAGGTTTTTTCTTCCCTATATGATGCTGATGTTTACACAGAGGTCACCTCTTTGGGCTCCTGGAGGGAAAGGGCTGTGTGTTGCCCTCTCTATAAACCTTCACCCACCCCAGGCCTCTGCACAGTGACAACAGAAATACTTAAGTGATATAGCACTTCCTATGTGCCAGGCATTGTCTGCGTGCTGTACATAACCTGCCCAATCCTCGCAATAACCCTATGTGATAGGACAGTTACTATCTCATTGGACAGAGGAAGAAACTAAGGCACACAGCGAGGTCGTGTAACTCACCAAAGGTCACAGAGCTAGTAAATGGTGGAGGTAGGTTTTGAACCCAGGCAAGAAGGACTTGAAGAAAAAAAAAAAAAAGACTGGATTCTGCCCAGGGCCATGGCTACTCTATCCTCACGCCCTCCTTCAGGATCTGAGCCCACTTCAACCCCTGCCAAAGGCTGGGCCAGAGTGCACGGCCAGGACTGTGCACCTCTGTGGGGCAGGGGCCATGAGAGGGCCAACCAGAGAGGGCCGACCAGGGAGGGCCGACCAGAGAGGGCCAACCAGGGAGGTCTGCCCCTCCTCCAAGCCATCCTGCCTGGCTATTTGGAGAAGACCAAACCCAGCCTCTTACCTCTCCCAGTTTGTCCAGTTTCACGTATGTTTCCAGTTTCCCAAAGCCAATGTCTGACTGAGAGGGAGAGACACAGAATGCCATGAGCTTGAAGCCCTTAGCAGCTCCACAGACATGACACCTCCCCCAACTCCAGCCTCTGGGAGGGAAGGGATGAGACCCCATGGCGGAAGGGGCTCGTTTTCCCTTTATCCCTATGATAAAGGACAGAGCTCATGGAAGTGTGAGTTTCTTCCTCCCAGGACAGCCAAGAGTGTGGACCCCAGGGCTGTGGCACCTGGGATTGTTGCACATCTTGGCTACCTGTGTCTCCGACTGAGACCACAAGCTCCTCCAGAGTGAACGCTGCCTTTTTTTCCCATTTTACCTTGAGTGTCCAGTTCAGAACCCACCTACCTGACGGTGTGTCTCATCAGCACACTTCTAGCTCAGGTGTATCCAACCCTTAACAAGACGGATTCCCGGACCCCCTAGCTGGAGAGGCTGATTCTATAGGTGTCTGGAGGGGTCTTAGAGTCTGTGTTTTGTAAGATGTCCCAAACAGCTCTGATAGGCAGCTAGGACTGGAAGGCACATGCCAGCTGGCCTATTGATCTTAACCATGTGGAGATCGTGGGACCTGGTGTGGGCTTAGAGTCCCATTCTAGCCCAAGTGGGACCCATCTAGGAAATGGATGATGATGTAGGAGGACGATCTAGTTGAATGCACTCAAGCCAGCAGGTGGCGCCAGAGGCCCAGGAATCTTCCTAGAAACACCATATAGGCCTCAGCTGGGACTGATATGCCTGTGCTGGGGAGGGCATATCACCCCACCTTGTGTCCTCTGCCCCTCTTGGGACTCACCAGGGAGGCCCGGCGGGACATGCGGCTGGGCTGCTTGGGCAGATCTGGGCTCTCCATCTGTAGCTTCTGTAGGAATTCCTGGGGCAGGCGGATATCCATGGGCAGAGAGAGCCTCTTGCTGACGTCCTGTGGTGACAAGGATGAGATGGGGACACCACTGTTGGCTTCAGGGTAGCTAGGGCTGTGGGGCCCCAGACGCTCACTCTGGACCTAGCGTTCCCTGCAGAACAACCATTCAGAGCCCAATCACAGGCTGTGACCCCAAGCTCACAGCTGCTCCCAGTGTGTGCTCAAGACATACACATGAACACCCGGGGCTGCTGTGTGACCTTAGCACAACCAGGTCACTCTCCGCCTCTCTAGGCCACAGTATCACCATCTGTGCAACATCAATCTCATGCCCTTACAGGCACTGATTCTGTAAGTATATTTTTTCATATGTTTGGGCCTATGTGTGTGGATCAAATAGTCAAATTGTCTAGCCCTTGCTAAGTTCAGGAGTGTTCTAAGCACTTGGCATAGATTAACCCATTTAATCCATGATGACCATTTTAAAGACAAGGAGACCATGGTGCACAGAGGTTGAGTAACTTGCTCAAAGTTACAGAGCTAATGAATGGCAGAGCTGGAATTTGAACTCACAAAGTCTGGCTGTAAGGCAGCTGCCCTCCTGTGCACACCCCTGTGCGTGCATCCTGCCACCTTCCGGGGCAGAGCTCCAGAGGCCCTCACCTCCATGGAGAAGCGGCGCTGGTTCTGCCGCCGCTGGAACTGCACGCCAGGGGACAGCTGCCCCGGCTCCTCCCCGCTGTCCGTTGGGGAGAAGGTGCTGCACTCCTGCGGGGGGTCTCTGCCAAGAGGACCGAGCTGCAAGTCTAAGAGGGACAGGCATCAGCTCCCCTCCCTGCCTCTCTGTCCTGAGGGAGAGGAGGGTAGCCCCCCTCCCCCAGCCCTGTGCTCCTCTCCTAAGGCCAGTGGGGAAGGGGTGGGCAGGGAGGGGAAGGAGGTGCCTGGGGATTGTCTGGTAAGTGGGAGAGGTGCTGGGTGGACCCAGACCTCTCACCCTCGTTCCGCCGGTTGTGGAGCTGGTTGAATTGCTCTGTGAATTCAGCCAAGGATTCTTCGATGGTCTCAGTGCGGGGCACTGACAGGGAGAAACGGCGCTTAAAGTTCTTCATCTTGTTCATGATCATGAGGGACCGGGCAGCCAGGTCCTGAGATGGGAGGTGTGAGAAGAGCAGGTGAAATGAACAAGGCATACCAGTCTGGGTCTCCACCCACTGGGAATTCAGCTGTCTCTTTCCATCAAGTTCTGTCGACCTGTATGCCACCATCACTGGGAGCCAGGGTTGTGTCTTCTCCAAAGTTTGACCCCCCTGAGGGTGGGTGTTCACCCTCTTCTTCCCAGTTACCCTCTTCCTCTCAGCAACTCTCAGCACTGCCCCCATCTCCCGCCAACGACCCACCCGGCCACACCCCGTGCAGTTCTCTATGGACCACTTAGTCCAGCAAAGTACTGGTCATAATAGCAGGCATGATGTGCAAAGAGGATCCTGAAGGCCCCCCAGACCTGAGCCCTTTAGCTGCTAGAGGTCTAGAGAGTTGTGGGGGAAGGGCTGGGGTGGCAGGGAGGGTGCCAGAACTAGGCAGTCCTTGGGCCAGGAGAAATTTACCAACTTGTGTCCAAGGGCTTGAATGTGTCAACGGCCAGTAAATCTTACTGACCAAGGCCCATAAACTGAATGTCAGCTTGGCCAACACCCTTGGGACATGATTGGGTCCAAACCTCATTTCACCTCTGATACTGACACATGAAGGTCCCTGCTCTGGCACGCCCCAGGAGGCAAGAGGGGAAAAGGAGGAGGGAGGGGAAGAGTGCATCAGAGCTGGCCAGCTGCATCTCCTCTCCAGCTGAAATATGGGAGGTCAAGAACAGTGGAAGGTCTCAGGGCAAACACAGAAGCTTGCCAGAAATACAGTCGAGCCCTAGGGAAGATGAGGCCTGATCTCTGCTGGCCTCTTCCCAGGCCAGAGCCCTCCAGGCAGGCAGGTATCCCCTACTGAGAACACCATGCAGGAGCAGTGTGAGCTTTCTGCCCACCCCCACTGGCCCTGTCCCCAACCATGAAAGCTTTCTTCTTCAGGCTCTCCAGCTCCTCGTGCCCTCTGGTCTTAGGGGAGGAGCACAGGGCTCGGGGAGGGGGCTACCCTCCTCTCCCTCAGGACAGAGAGGCAGGGAGGGGAGCTGATGCCTGTCCCTCTTAGACTTGCAGCTCGGTCCTCTTGGCAGAGACACCCCCATAGAGGATGCCCTGCTGGCCACCCAATGAGACCCATGCAACTGCTTCTTCCTGCAGACCCTCCTTTTTCCCTCCTGCCCTGAAAACCCAGAGCAGCACTGTCCCACCTCCCCTCCACTTCCCTTCATGGTTTCCTACATGCTCAGTGCAGCCCCCCTGTCATCCTGCTCTGCACACATTGCCCTTGAGGCCTCACAAGGGCTTCTGCCCATGCCAGCAAGAAGGCACCACGGGGTGAGCCCTATGACGGGCTGCGCTGCACCCGCTCCCAGCTGTTACCCATGCACCAGGCACAGCCCACTCCTGGAGGATGCTCTCAGCCCTGCCACTGGCCAGCACCTGGTTGCCAAGGCGACCATGCCTTTCCCGAATCCTCCTGGTTTAAGGGATTATGGATCAGTAACATGTTGGCTTTGCTTAATGATCACATCCTTCTGTCCTCAGCCAGCCTGGAAAGGGTCTTCTGTCTGGCAGCGCATGCTCCTGGCTGCCCCCAAACACAGCTCAGTGGTGGCCCTCCAGCCACCCTGATCCCAGCCAAGATTCATGGCGGGGTATGAACAGGCTCTCCTTCATTACTTCAGCAGGCTGGCACCTCTCAGAGTGGAGGCCTCGGGTTTGCAGTGCTAGGAAGGTCCATCTCTGTCAGTGGGCCCTGAAGTCTCACTCAGTTCCACTCAACAAACAAACTGGCCGGGCATGGTGGCTCAAATCCCAGCACTTTGGGAGGCTGAGGTAGGTGGATCACTTGAGGTCAGGAGTTCGAGACCAGCCTGGCCAAACATGGCGAAATCCTGTCTCTACTAAAAATACAAAAAAAATTACAAAAAAAAATTAGTGGGGCGTGGTGGCACATGCCTGTGATCCCAGTTACTTGGGAGACTGAGGCAGGAGAATCCCTTGAACCCTGGAGGTGGAGGTTGCAGTGAGTGGAGATTGCGCCATTGCACTCCAGCCTGGGTGACAGAGCAAGACTCTGTCTCAAAAAACAAACAGAAAAACTGAACACCTAATATGCGCCAGCATTGTGCCAGGCATGAGGGTTTCAGAGGCAAGTAAAGGGTGGTCCCTATTCTCAAGGAACTCAGGGGCTGGTGATGCCTCCTTTGATGAGAAGGTAGCTGAAAGTGCTTCCTCTTTGGCTTCCTTGGCAAAGCCCACCAGCCTTGGACTTTCCTGATTCCCCATCCCTAAACTCCTTCCTGTCAGTCATCTTCAGCTGCTCCTCCATGGCTCTGTGCAATGTCTCAGGTCTGCTGTCTGCAGGACTCTTGCAGACAGGAAGCTTCCAGAGGGCAGCCACCAAGCCTCACACTTGTGTATAGCATCCAGGCCACTGGAGGCTTCGTGATGGTGGCAGGAGGTATGGGTCCCAGTGACAAGAGGACCCAGACACTCCTACCTGGTGACTCCCATTTCCAAGTAAGATAGGAGAGTGGAGATGGCCCCCTTTACAGATCAATTATTTTCTTTTTTTCTTTCTTTCTTTTTTTTTTTTTTTTTTTGAGATGGAGTCTCACTGTCACCCAAGCTGGAGTGCAGTGGTGTGATCTTGGCTCACTGCAACCTTCCGGGCTCAAGCAATTCTCATGCCTCAGCCTCCCGAGTAGCTGGGATTACAGGCCTGCACCACCACACCCAGCTAATTTTTGTGTTTTCAGTAGAGACAGGGTTTCACCATGTTGGCTAGGCTGGTCTCGAACTCCTGACCTCAAGTGATCTGCCTGCCTCGACCTCCCAAAATGCTGGGATTACAGGCATGAGCCACTGCACTCAGCCAACTATTTTCAAAGATAGCTGAGCATTAGAATCACCAGGGAGCATTGTAAAAAAATTCAGATTCCTAGGTCTTACCCTGAGATTCTGGAACTGAGGTTCTGAGAATGGTGTCTGGGAAAATGCATTTGAAAAAACACCTCCAATGATGTACACCTGGAGCCGTGACCAGGAAACATTTAAGGTCCAGGTCAGGGACAGTTATCTGCCCAGGCTTCCAGACTACCCTCCTGTGCTGAGGCAGGGGATCCTCAGAGCAGGGGAGGGAAGCAGGAGGCCCCCTACAGGAGAGGAAGTCTCTGTCCTGGAAGCCGGCGCATCTGCACGGCACCAACCGATGTCCCCGTGCTTTGTCATGGTTGTTCTCTGGGGGTGGGGAGAGGCGGGCACTTGGCTCCCTGGGGTCTGAGCTCTGCTAGGAGGGAGACCAGCCACACCCCTTTCTAAAAACAGGGCTTCCCCATAAAACCGTCCTGCAGTCTGGGATTTATGGGATGGCCTGTTGGATTTGCAGCTCAGGAATCTACAAGTAGCAGCCATAAATCTCACACCCTTGCTCTCGATTGTAGGCTGAGGGGAGGGGAGCTCATTAAAAGCCTCCGGGAAGGAGGCCCCCCATTTCTGCAAGACAAAGGAGATTCAGCCCTGAGTCACACCTGCTCTCCCCAAGGTTCAGTGAGGAGCAAGGAGCCACCAGCCTGTGCCTGGGGTGGGGTGAACGCAGGGAGACGGAGGGAGGGTGAGGCCAGAGGCAGCTGAGTGGAGCAAGAATGTGGGGCCAAGCAATGCAGGCGATGGAGACCAGCTGTTCTCCACCCGCAGGAAAGGAGCCCGAGGGGAAGTGCCTGTCAGTAGCAGGAGGGATGGGGGTCAGATGTAGGATGGACTTCCTGATGGAGGGATGGAGGTCAGAATGTAGGATGGACTTCCTGATGGAGGGATGGAGGTCAGATGTAGGATGGACTTCCTGATGGAGGGATGGAGGTCAGATGTAGGATGGACTTCCTGATGGTGACAGGGGAGCAGGCGGTGGGGGTGGTGACCACAGCAGAGTGGATGTCTCTCTCTGCTGGGGACAATCGGGGCATTGAACCCAGCAGGGTCTTGGGTGTGACAGGGCAGACTGGGTAGTGAATAGTCTGTTGTTCCCTAGGTCAAGACACAAGATGCCTCTGTCATTTTTCCCTTGGGAGAGTCAGCTCCTCAGATTTGGGGGTTGAGGGGGAAGGGAGACAGGAAAAAGGCCTGTCACCTTAGTGCTGTCTGCCCCTCACCCCCAAGTGGGGACAGAAGGACTCAGTATGACCAGCCTGAGGCCAGCCCAGGGCCAGGCACAGCACAGCCTTTGTCCTCAGGCCAAGGAGCCATCTGGGGCTGTCCCCGTGCAACTGGTGCCAGGGGAAGAGGGCAATGGGCATCCAGGGATGCTGGCCTGGCAGTGGGGGGTGGGGGAATTTGAAGGAGCAGAGTCCCACTGAGGAGCTGCAGGGTGGGCAGGCAGACCCCAGCCAGCCTCCCCTCCCACCTCCCTGCCCAGGTAAGTCATAAAGCTCTCAGCCCGCTCCAGTTGCTTCCTTCCAGGGACACAGCAGCCGGCCCAGAACTTCCTGCTGGTGCCAGAGCCATGAGTGGCACAGAAGGAGGAAGGAGGAGCCAGGCTGGGAGGAAAGCCAGCACTTGCCAGAGGCCACTGTGCACCCAGTGAGCAGGGCTGGCCTCCCAGAATGTTAGCAGGGGAAGATGCTCACACACCCTCCATCCCCATCCCTTGCCCAGTGAAGATGCTGAGGCTCCAAGAAGGGAAATGACTTGCTCGAGATCATGCAGCAGTTTCCTGGTTGTTGCGAAGTGCACAAACGTGACCATATTGCTCCTTTCTTCTCCTGCCTGGAGCCCTCCCTGCCCTTGCCCCTTCCCTGTGGCCTAGGCTTGACTGTTTTCTCCCACTCTGAATTGCATGCCAAACAAACCCAAACTCTGGTGCTACCACTAGCGGGCTGTGGAATCGCAATAACGTTATAAAACCCCTCTCACTCCTGGCTCCAATCATTCATTCAACAATCACTGAACACCTGCTGCATGCCAGGCACTGTTGCAGACCCTGAGAATCACAGATGAATGAAACAGATATTAATTCC